TGAATATTGGGCATTTGGGTTCTTCTGCTGGCCAAACAATAGTCCAAACAAAACTATAGTCCAATTGCGGCTTGGTAATCTGCTCAAGCCCAATAGCTCCAAGCCGGACCGGAACTAGGTCATGGGTCGTACTTGTTTCGGCTGTGATCCGCTACCATAATACGTGGACCCTGAGAGTCCGACCCAGTCCACTTTGTTGACCACTATAACTGACGTGAATCCCACCCTTTGGCTCCGCTGAGCGACGCCCAAAGTCGGTAGCAATTTTTCTACCGAATTAGATCGTTATTCGATCTTTTTCAACTTTCTTTTTACTCTAAAACATCTGTTCACATTATATTTAATTAGTGGCACAAGAATCCTCAAATGTTTCGACCTATAGAGCTCCGATTTCTCATTTGATGTTAGGTTTCGAGACAATTACATCGTATTAATTTTCCCGATGGTGGCCACCAATACACCATTACGTCCCTCCTTCCTACCGAGTAACATATGCATATCACCAAATAATAAGAAACCATGAATCATAACCACAAGGGTGGTGCTTGATTGGTTTGAGCTTGACTCCAAAGGTCAAAAGTATCAGGAGGTCCCAGATTCAAATCTAAGAAGGAATAAAAATCCCCTTGTGGTCACGGAGGTCCAAATGCGGTGACTCCGGCCTATCTGCAAAGCAAGTGGTCACCCTGTGATTAGTTGGCTCGCATAGCGAGTTGGATATCTAGGTTAATAAAAAAAAACCATGAATCATAAGAATAACAAGAGAACTAGTCTTGATTTGAATAAAAACATATTGAAATTAACTCTTCTTATCAGATGTGTCTCTTGATCGTTATTTTAAAATTTAAGTTTACAACTTAAAAATTCATTTAAGATTAATAACAACTAACTGATAAACATATTCAAATACAAGATAAACTTTGAGCTTTAATAATATATCGAAATGATACTTAAGACTGATAATAAACACAAAAATCCCTTACTCCTTTAAAACCACACAAAAACATATAATAAAATTAATAAAAAGAGAAGTAAAATGAAGCATAAATATATCAAATTTGGTCCTTGTAATTTGTCAAAAGTAACAGTTTTCAATCATTTATTTTCAAAATTATAAGATGGTCATCGTGGTTTATAAAACTCATGATGTGATCCCCCCCTCTAATGAATGTTAAAAGGTTCCAGACATTTTTGTCAAATTTTTATTTTTTTTATGTCTTTGACCCATTCAAAAACAACATGGGCCAAAATCATACGAAAATGATTTTGATTGGATAAAAGATAATTAAAAGAACGAAAATGCCTCATATTTAACATGATTTTTTAACGATCGTTAGAGAAAGAGACTAAATCTAAACGTTTTTGCAAACCATGATGACCAGTGGCGGATCCATAATTTTTGTTCAGTGGGGTCACCTTTAAAGTAAACTAAAGACCCGCAAAATCATTCGATGTGTTTTTAACCTAATTACAACATTTTCGAGGGAATTTTAAAGTTTTTTTGGTTGATTTCGAGGAAGTTTTTAGTGTTTTTGTCGATTTCGAATAACTTTTTTGGTTTTTTTGATTGATTTTAACAGACTTTTTTTGGTTAGAGTTCGGTTTCGAGTGGGGTTGGGGGCCGGTGGAAACATGTAATGGAGGGAAGTAAAAGGTAAATCATATAAAACCTAAATTTTAACCTATTTTTTTTTCAAGTTTTTGACTGGAGTCCCTTCCCCCCTCTTTTTTACTATTGCATCCGTCCCTGATGATGACCATCTTATAATTTCGAAACTGTAACAACAAAAAATATTACTTTTAACAAACAACAAGGACCAAATTTGTAGTTTACTCAATTTTAACATATAATGGAATTTTGAGTGTGTAACCAATCTTTTATTGTTGTAGACAATGGAAGCAGTTAATGAAAGTAATGGGTCAACAGTTAGGAGTTGCATCACCGTTGGATGAGTGGGTCCCATGAAGAAGAGCATGAGAGGTGGGGAGGTGCGGGTCGTAGAGAATTGTGGCCACTGTTCTCCCCTCGTGCTATATGGGTGGTCTGTTGTCGCACGTGTTGATGTCGAAGAGGTGGGTCCATCACATGTGTGCAACATGACGTGGTAGACCCCACACCCACCCATCTCTATTGCCACTTGTATGCCAACTTGGCTTATCACACACAATCAATTATTTAGTTTAGTCTCAATTAAATTAGAGACTGCTTTTTTTATTATTATTGTGAATTTAATTTTTTCAGTATTTGATTTGTCAAAATAAAAAAATTACACACACACACACATATATATATATATATATATATATATAATTATCTATAATACTTTATAAACCAAATTTATCAAAAGTCATAAGAACAACTTGTAATGCACAGAGTATTATACATTTATGCACAAAGTCTTAAAAACAACTCATAATGCATTTAATACTACTACTTTATGTATTTAGTCTTAAAAACTCTTAATACTTTTTTTTGGCTATACATACATTTTCACAAATAAACTGCCCAATACTAACGATTGTAGATGGCTCTTCACAATAATTGAAATGGAGAAAATACCAATTCAAATTGGTGCGATTGCTAAATCTGCACAATTTCCCCTTCATGTATGGTTACCTGATGCAATGGAAGGGCCGACTCCTATTTCGGCCCTTATACATGCTGCTACGATGGTAGCAGCGAGAATTAGTATGAAATTTCTATGTATTAAATTTATATGGAAGTCGAATACAAACTGTGGTTCTAGGGAAAGAGTAAAATATCATATAGTATAAGTTACTAATGCACATTATTACCTTTTCTTTTCATGTTTGCTAGATATTTTTGACACTTTTCACTTGTTCATTCACCTTTTCATACCTTTACATCTTCTTCACATCTCCCAAGGTGAATTTTTGTTCTTTTAATTTCACAAAATACTCATTTCAATATATTAGAAGGGTACTCGCGTAATACAATGAGATACATTTCGATTTTAATTTTTTATTTTATTATTTGTCTCTGTCGATGTTATAATACGATTTTATGTGTTTTTAAGAAAGCATTAATGATTTTATTTTTGAATAAAATATAAATTTGAAGATATCATAAAACTTTGAAAAAAAATATATCAATGTTAATATCAAATCAACTATTTAAAAGTTTCATATTTTATGTAATTTCTTTAATTTATTTTTTATTATAATTTAATTTAAGTTTAATAATGAAATAATTTATTTTTGGTTTAATAATATAACATTTTATAAAGATAATAATCAAGTATTCTTTTAGAACTCAATGATTATTTTAATTATATTTTAGATTTTTTATATTTAAAATAAGATGTTTATCATGTATTTGATTATGTTTATCCTGTATTTGATTATGTTTATCAGTGTTAGTTACACGAATTCATATATGAAGTTTTAATAAGTTGTACTTAAGCATAATCTATTTGTAATCTTGAGTTTTAAGTAATATGCATTAATAAACAGTACTTTACGCATAAAAAGTGGTTTTTAAGAGTTTTTGTCAAATGCTTTATAATATAGTATAGATTAGAAGGGTAGTCGCGTAATGCAATGAAATACATCTCGATTTTAATGTTTTCTTTTATTATTATATTTGTCTCAGTCGATGACTCGGTGTTGTTATACGATTTTATGCGATTTTATGTGATTTTATGTGATTTCTGTAATTCATTTTTTTTATTTTTGGTTTAATAATATAATTTTTTTATAAAATATAATAATTAAGTATTTTGTTAAAACTTAATGATTATCCTAATTATATTTTAGATTTTTTATATTTAAAATAAGATGTTTATTCTGTATTTGATTATGTTTATCTATAGTTAGTTACACGAATTTAAACGTGGAGCTTTAATAAGTTGTACTTACGCATAATTCGTTATATCTTTGGTCCCTTGTACTTAAATGTATGAATTAGTTTAAGAACGAAAATTAACAATAAATTACAAACTATAAAGACTAAAATCGCAATTTTGTAAAATATATGGATGAAAATTTAAATTAATAGGGACTAAAATCGTAATTTACTCAAAATATTGTTCATTTAATTTAGAGTAAATTCTGGATTTGATCTACCTGCTTTGATATGTTCTTTACTAGGGTTCTATAATATCAGAATAACTAAAATAAGATATCATTTTATAGTTTGATTTGTTTAAATTAAAAATGTTGATTATATTATATAGGATTTAATTTATATTGTTTTAGTATTTTTGTCAATTTGGGTACGAAAACCTGGTTAAAGTTTATACAGAGATTTGTTCAATTTTAAGTTACAAAAATGATAATATTTATGAATCATTCATTTGGTTAAAATCAAAATAGTTGATTTTTTGTGTTTTTGAATGAAAAAAAAAATATGAATACTGGGAATCCTAATTTTAAGATGATAAAATTGGAATCCATTTTTTAATGGTTTTCAATGATTTTGATGTTATAATATCGATGCTAAACTTATTTAATGCAATGATAGAAAAATAATAATAAAATTAAATTGTCTTTAACATAATTAACTTTTTTTTAATTTAAAGAAATCAGATTATAAAATCATATTTTATTTTATTCGATCTAAATAAAATAAGATATGTTTTATGATCTGATTTTTTACATTAAAATTTTAAATACATCAAAATCATTTCTTTTTCATCATTACAATAAAATGGTAAAATTAAATCATATTTAATTTGATTATTTTTTAAAAAAATTAAACAAATCAAATCATACAATAATATCTTATTTTATTTATTTTGATACTAGTTGTGTCCTTGTGCAATGCGACGGTATGTCAAATTTTTAAATAAGCTTACAACTAAAAATGAGTGCTAACTATTCATTAAAAAGAACAACATTTGTATAAACAAATAAGATTTGACCCGATTGGGTCCATGGGGATAAATATTCGGATCTTTAAATAGGTTAGTTGGAGAGTAAAGACACCCGATAACCAACAAATTGCTTTCTGAGGAGGAATCGCTGTTTTGACGAATTCCAATCAACAAAACCCTCAATTCCATCTTCCCTTTTTCTTAAATTAATTGCAGAAATTTCCACGAATTACACAACCCCATTTCTAAATCATTCCTATCGATCGTATACCTTCATAGATAAGGGTCGCCGGAGACTTTAAACAATGACCGGCGGCGGTTCGTCTGGTCGGCTTCCGACTTGGAAGGAAAGGGAGAACAATAAGAGGAGAGAGAGGAGAAGAAGAGCTATTGCTGCTAAGATATACGCCGGACTTCGAGCTCAAGGGAACTTTAAACTCCCCAAACATTGTGATAATAACGAGGTTTTGAAAGCACTTTGTGATGAAGCTGGTTGGGTTGTTGAAGAAGATGGTACCACTTACCGCAAGGTGTTTTTCTTCTCAATAAATTTTGATCTCTGATTCTAAAATGGGTTTCTCCTAAATTTTGTAGTTAGATCTGTCCATTATTTTGGGTTTTATGTGCATTAATTGGTCAATGGTTTCACAGCTTTTGTACTTTCATCCTGTTTGATTGCTTTTCCCCACAAGTATGATCGAACGGTAATCTTCGTCGGGTTTTTAATTTAAACCCAGACACAAAAATCCCTCTTTTAAAATTGGAATCAGATCGGCAACTTTTGTTCTAAATATAGTTCATTTTTAACTACAAAGATTACTGCACTCCAAGTGTTTGTTATAATGCCCAAATCAACTTTTTGCTAAAATTGTTCTGGAGTTGATTTCCTTCTCGATTCACATGGAAAGTCACTTTCTTTACTTATTTTCAGCCATTGATTCCGACTACATTGGATTGATCTGTACCAAGATCAGAAAGTAGAATCTTTAATGCTTTAAAACAATAAATTTTGGCCCAAAAGAACCCGCTACTAGACTCGTGAACACTCCTAGTTTCGTGATAAATGACCTTCGTCGACATGGTACTGGTTTAAAACAGTCTGCTCTTGTAAAAGTACCAGGAGGTTTAGGTTCAAATCGAAGTAAAACTCCCCTTGTGGCCACGGAGGTTCACATGCGGGGACTCCGGGCTATCTGCAAAGCAGGTGGTCGCCGTAGGATTAGTCGGCTCGCATAGCGGGTTGGACATCCAGGTTGATAAAAAAAAACTTAGAAATACACTAAAGGGTTAGATTCTTGAATTAAGATTCCATTTTTTCATTATGCCTTAATGAAATTTGTTGTTATTGTCACAGGGGTGCAAGCCATTGCCAAGTGATATGGGAGGCATGTCGACCAACATAAGTTCGTGTTCGTCGATCCAACCGAGCCCAATGTCTTCATCCTTCCCTAGCCCCATTCCGTCATACAATGCCAGCCCGACATCGTCCTCTTTCCCAAGTCCATCTCGTTGTGAAAACCCGCCAAACCCCTCATCCTACATCCTTCCATTCCTCTGTAACTTAGCCTCAGTGCCCTCTTCCCTACCCCCACTACGAATTTCCAATAGTGCCCCTGTAACCCCGCCTCTTTCCTCCCCGACCTCTAGGGGAACAAAGCGGAAACCCGACTGGGCAATGCTATCCTCAGGGGCATTACAGTCTTTTCGACATCCCATATTTGCAGCTTCCGCTCCATCAAGTCCGACTCGCGGCCGTCGCCACATTCCCCCAACAACGATTCCTGAATGTGACGAGTCGGATGCTTCGACCATCGATTCGGACCGGTGGGTCAGCTTCCAGACCATGGCTGCACCAACTTCACCAACCTTTTACCTTGTGAAACCATCGAACCAACAAGGATTTGTACAAAATGGGACCATGGTGCAACCGAACCATGGTTCGGAATTCGAGTTCGAAAGTGGTAAAGTGAAGGCTTGGGAAGGGGAAAGGATACATGAAATTGGAACAGACGATTTGGAGCTGACGCTTGGGAATGGTTCGGCCAAATAGGGTCCGTTTGTCGTATTTCAGAACTTATCGAAGGGAAAAAGGAGACCGTTATTTTACAAGTATCGATTTTCGATTTAGAAAGTATTTGAATGTGTTGTAAAATTGATTATTAAGTCGATGATTATTCGACTTGTTATATGTTAACCGTAAAAATCAGCTTTAAGGATGTGAGTGTAAATACATAAGACGATGTTATTCTGATGATGAAAAACCGATTCGGTGTTTAGATGTTCATTTTTATACGTAATTAAACGTTATTTGATGGACAAAATGCATGAAATAACAACCTACTTTTATAAATTTTCTTATTATAGTATTGTACTTTCAGTTTTTCTTATTAGAATAATGTACTTTTAATATATTTTTTATTAATGCATGGTACTTAAAAAAAATTTACCCACTATAGCATTTGGTAACCTTTTAAATTTGTAAAACTCGAAAACTCTTAAAACTTTTAAAGGAGAAGAATTGTCTTATTGATGATCCGTTTGACAATGAAGAAATCAAATCCTATTTATAACTTAAGCTAGTTAAAAGATAACTATTACTAAAAATAAGATTAAGGGATGTTTGGGATTGTTTATTTGAAACAACTTATGTTTTTTTTATAAAAGTCCTTGTCAACTTATTATAAGTTAAAATTGTTTAACTTATTCAAAAACTCTTTATTACAAGTTTGGCACCGGTATAAGTTGTTTATCCAAACACTCAAAAATGTTTATTACCAATATCATATCACAATAAATCAATAAGTTATTTTTATAATCAATCTCAAACATCTTAACCATCACAATAACATTGGGAAAATAAAATAAAAGAAAAGAAAAGAGAGAGAAATATGGAAGCAAACCATGGTTGGGCAAGGAAACGTACACGTGGGTGGGTGCATGCAGCATGCACAGGAATTATGGTTCGTGTGGGTCAGGTCATGTGCATGGGAACAGAAACTAAGGTGATAGCCGCGTAATGAGAAAAGATTGGGGTGTGAGGACCAAACAGTAGCTTAAGCGAGGGTCATGCGTGTCTATCCGCATGAATCAGGGAGGTTTCAATCTTTTTGAAGGTCTTGTTACATCTAAAACTTTGATTACATTGCATAAATAAGATAATAAAGAATATATGTTACTTAAGAATAAAAATGGGCTAAACCTAAAACAATTCAACAATCTGAACCTAAACCATAATGCTTTGAACCTAAATCCAAATAATTAATAGTTTGAACCTAAATAATTTCGACTATAGTTTACACAGGTCGATAAAAAGACCCTAAACACATGTAAATTTAGTCCCCAAAATTTCGGGGGTCCTGTTCAAAAGCTCACATTTAACATGCTAAGAAACGACATGCACACATGATAGTCGCACAAATGGGATTTTAGGTGGGTTGAGTCACACGAAACCCACGTTTGTTTCTGTTTGTTTTTCTCGATTTGCTCTTCGATTTTTATCACGAGCCTCTCTGTATCAACCGATTAAACCATTGAAGGAAAACGGGTCCAAGTTGGAGTGCACCAGTGAAATCAAGAGGACAACAGAGAGCGCGACGGAGAAACGGAGCTACAACCTATAGGGAGATAAGTAGAGGTGATGATGAATATCGAAAAGGATAAGAAAGTTGGAGACTAGAAGGATGGAGCGGTTGGGAAATGAAAAGCCTCCTCGAGATTGAGAAGAACGGCTCTTTGTAACGCCAAAAAACTAAACAAGTCGAACATCTTTTCATAAACTTATATGAATGGTTTTTTATGAATGAAATATTCATGAAATTTACGATGAAATCGATGAACGAATGATTTTTTATGAATATTTTTATTCCTGAAATAATGTTTTATTTTTGTAAATATGTTTAAATTCTGATATTATAAATCCTTAGTAAACATATTTGATTAAATTTACAATGTTTAAATGAAAAAAAATATTAAAATTAAAAGTACAATGCTGTAATAAAAATTGGTAATGCTATAATAAAATAATTTTGAAAATACAACGCTATAATAAGAAATGTTTCTCCCCTTCTTTCCCCTCAGAGAGCCTTGGTTCTTTTCTGGTTGATATGGTTCGCCCCCATCCGAGAACATAATTTGTTAGCGTTTTTGGTTTTTTTTTCCTCTTGATAGAAGGGGCCTCCCCTCTATATCAAAAAATAAGAAATGTCATGTCAACACCATCGTACATGTGGATAGCCCACGTGGACGATGAGGTGACAAACAAACCTGATATAATGAGTTAATTTAATTTAAAAAGTTACCCAATGCTAATAAACAATATTTTGAAAATACAATATTATAATAAAGAAATTTATAAAAGTAGGTTGCTACTTCGCACATCCTATATTTACATATGATTAAGAAAATTGCAACAACTAATTCTTAATTCTGTCAGTCTTGTTATTTTGATGGTAAAAAATGAAAATTCAAGATCAATGTTAGACCATCCATAATCATATGTATATGTATGAGATGCAATATTACCATCCATTTGGACAAATTTTTAGCAATTCCTTGGGGGTTTCTAGAAGTCCTTAACAAAGAATTATGTGATTATAAATATAATTTAATTCTGATAATTATTAATGTCACATCAATATTTTTTTGTTGATGTGGTAATATAGTATAATAAATTATACCAGTATGTGACACTGTAGTATAATAAATTATAATGTATAATTTTTTAATAAGAAATTCATTTATATCGTATCATACTTTCTAATGTTTTATGAAGTATGTTTATAAAAAAAGTTGATTTTTCAGTTATAGAAAATACAAAAAGGTTGATCGTTAATTAATATTAATATAATTTTTTCTATTTATTGAAATTATAAATTTTTAATATTAATATATTATTGAATATAAAATATAATTAGTATTACACTTGTTAGAAATTATATTAAAGTAGATAGTTAATGGGATATATATATTAAAACAAAAGACAAGAAAAAGTTAGGGATGGTAAAAAAAAAAAAAAAACCAAAACCGATGGTGAAAACCGAAAACCGAATCTTTCGGGGCCGGGTTCGGGGACATCTTATCGGGGATGGAACGAGGATTGGGGACGAATTCGGGGATTTTAACGGGGACGGGAGCGGGGATCGGGGATGAATTCGGGGATTTTAACGGGGACGGGAGCGGGGACGGTGATCACCGGCCCGATATGTGTATATATATATATATATATATATATTATATGCATACATATATATATATATAATATCATTAAAAGAAAATAGTAACGTTAAAACGTAAAATAACTTTTATCCATTTTACCTCAACAACCCAAATAAAGTTCACGAAAAAATCAGCTTATTTGTCTAAAATCGTGATTTTAGTTGTATGATGTTCGAATTTCTGTTTAATTTTATATTGTAATACAATACATTGTTTGTAATTGGTTCGATTATGTCTGAGACATTTAAACTTACATCTCTAAAAAATTGTAATTTACCTTTAATTGTGAAAATTAGCATATTGTATTTTTTTTTTTCCAAATCGGTTTCGGGTTCGGGTTTGGTTATAAGGGCATCTCCAATGGGGTGCCATGGAGAGTGTAATGGGAAGCATGACACCCCTCATGCATTGTGAAGGGTGTCATGGAGAGTGTAATGGGAGGGAGTGTAATGGGGATGATACACATCATGGAGGAAAATGGGACCCTTTTTCTTTTTTTTAAATTAAATTTGTAAGGAAAATGGGGATGATATATATATATATATATATACACTATAATATGATATTTATTAATCAATAAATTAATTTTTATTTTTCTTAATTTATAAAAACAACATAATTAATAAAACATTTCATTAATTTCAAAATACATTACATTAATAAGATATTACATTAATTTTAAAATACATTACATAAACTACATTTATTTTTAATTTCATGCTTGTGAACAATGTTCCCAAATATGCTCCGTTAAATCATGTCGAAGAGAGTGATGCACCGATGAATCACGTAGTTTAGAGTTCATCTGAATCTGATATTGAATTTCTGCGGTAGGTTGGTTAATGCATTTAATCAAATATATTTGGTGTTAAAGAGCCAACACATTAGTGGATGGTCTGAAGAAGATTTTTGAAGGTCCTCCTTTCAACAATATACTGTAAGATTTGAATCAAATTTCAAACTCGAACACGTTTGGAATATGGTTAAAAATCAACCAAAATGGCAAGCTGCAAATGCTACACATGGAGCTACTAGATGTTCATCTAATGAACCTTCCATCAACTTGGACGATGTTGAAGTTTCAACTCGTCCAATTGGTACAAAGGCAGCAAAAAAAACAGCCAAAGGTAAATCAACAAAMTCCACATCATCWGGTAGCCGAGTTGATGAGCTGTTTGAAAAACATATGGTCGAAAATAATAAAAACTTTGAACGGTACCAACAAAGTTTGGATACGAAAAATGAGTTGAAAAAACAAAAAATCAAGAACGCTGAGATGAAGATATTTTATATGGATCCCAGCACTATGTCGGAGGAGGGCCRAGAGATTTGGAGGAACCGTTGTGAAGAGATCAAAATAAAATATAATTTGTAGGCATCGTCGTTTTTTATTTAATATGCGTTTAGGTTTTATAGTTTTAAATTATTTAGTGTTTAAGCATTTCATTTTCTAGCTTTGGTACTTTTCAACTAATGTATTTTAGTCTCGTACTTTTTATTAAATATATTTTAATTTCGTTTCATTTTCATTTTAATGTATTATTCCTTGTTTTTAGTAGATTTTTAAATTTGTTGGTAAAATTATATTTATAGATAATATATATATGTATATATATATATATATATAT